CAGTGCTTTCAGGTTCCTAATCATGGTCTAACAATGACTGATTCATGAATATTTTTAATTGTTTTACCTAAGTAACTCATAGAATACAAGGCGATACATTCGACTATGAATCTTCTCTTCTTCATAGGAAATAATCATGGCGATCGCATAGTTGGAAACATTTTAGATAATTTTTGTACAAATTCATTCATTATTTCTTTCAGAATTATACTGTTTACAGAAAATCCTTTTCAGAATTGTGAACACGACGAGTAGATCGACTCTGTCACCAACAATTTCTACCTAATATCTATCATTTTGAGGTTCATGAAGTGTGATGATTTGAGTCGGTGAAGATGACCATCTTTCTTTTTATGATAGTAACCAGCTGCCCAAACTAAATTATTTGAGAAGTCAAGTACCTTAAAAAATAAACCAATATTACTGTTGGGGATGTGTTAGCTCCCCAGAACTCGCTTGATAAATGCCTTATTTCGGTTTTTACGTTTGCGAGCATGGGCTGATCAGTTGACCTTGACATTTCATTTCACACCAGGAAAATCCATGGCTGTGATTGGCTGCCATGTATTTTAGTGTGCTATTTTCGTAACTGTCTCAAAGACGTCGTTTCTATGATGTATAAATAAACGAGAGTTGTATGCTTCATCGCATTGTGATGGCTGGGTGTTTGTAGAATATACTTTCTACGCTTAACAAGTCTTTAGTTTTTCAGCTTGGGATTCAAGGTAGCCTATCTGGACGCTGTTCATTGTCTCGTTCGCGTTTATCAACTAAGGTGAACTCGTAATACTTCAAGCGTACCAAGTGACGAACATAACAATTACATTGACAAACATATGTTTCATATTCATAGGACAGTTCTACTTTTTAGTAGATAGTTGAATCTAGTGATTTGCGTTTTTTATAAACATAGTGCCTAACTACTTATAAGTACCTTTAAGTAGCCAAACGTCAATCGCAAACAAATTAGTTGATTTCCCAATAATTTTCTGACTGGCTGATAAATGAAGAGCTTGAATTCGTTGTGGTTGTTTTTAGGTTCACGACAGAGCGTTCATATACCATAAGTAAACCTTAAGAATGAAAAAATGTACGCTAATGTTAGGATATTCATCCAATATCCTAAGAGAATTATCGGTCAAAATTATGATCGTCCTACATTTCAATGTCACGTGCTCCAATGTTGCTTCCCATTGGTCGTCCTGACTATCAATGCCACTTCAAATGTTGCTTCCTATTGGTCGTCCTAACTGTCAATGTCACAGACTTCAATGCTGTTTCCTATTCAACCAAAATGTATAAATACGCATTATCTGTAACGTTTTATGGTCACGACAGGGGCCGGGGCTCGGTCCCGGATCCCTAGTCCGGGACCCTGATTCTCTTCCGGATTCGGACCTCGTGCTTTCTGAATGCTTGTAGAACACAAGATCTACTACATATCACGTCTTTTTATTTTAACTAAATGTGGAGGTAGGGATAATCGGATTTGAGTAGCAGGTCGTATCACCGGCTCCTCGATCCTCGCTCGCGTTTTCCGACTAGGTAAACTCGTCATCGTTCACGTATCGCAAGTTGCCGCGTTCACGTGCAGGCGTAACACCCAATGAACAGTAAATGAAAGATAAATACAGTCTTAGTATTTATTATAATGATCGACCTAAGGCTTTGCTCTAAGCATAGCTGAGTAAAAAGGAGAATCGTGTTTGATCAGCGATCGAAATGATCATTCATTCATTCAGTTAGCTGTATCACGATCACTCGCATTCCACTCTTCGAAGCTCAAAAAAACTGTAAAGTTCTACGCAATGTATATATATTTTTTCTGGTTAGCGTTATTTTGGTAAGTCAGATTTTGACGGGATGGAGTCGCCAACCCCATGCCCAACCCTCCCCCTTTATCCGAGCTTGGGACCGGCAGTAGCCCCGAAGGTTCTACTGGCGGAGTTAATGTATATATATGCACAGATGAATTGCATGAGTTTCAGCTTGTGTAGGTTTTTACAAAGGGTATGCAACAGGCTCACATACAAACCAACATTAGCCGGAGAATCCGCTCTATATCAGAAAATGAGGCTTAATAAACAATGCTATGAATATAGGTAGCAAATACAAAGGAGAGATGCTTGTGTACGTCATGAATTGTATAGATAAAAGTTTATTGTACCAGTGATAGGCATTTAACGCATAAGTGACAGGTCGTAGTAACAAATATGAACTACAGGCGTATCAATGTGCATGTAACGTGTACTATCTCCACATACATTTGAGTTTATTTGCATTCAATATAATTAAACCGTTTTGATTGACTTGTTTAACTGAGTCATTCTTATTGCAATAACTTATCTGTCCCGTTGCGCGATTATTATTGTCACACTTGTGTGAGCAGGTAGATCGAGATTCTACCTAAGATCTCAGTCAACCTAGCTGCTGAAGCTGGACCACCATCCTTAAATATCTCAGGAGTCAGTCTATCAGGACCTGCAGCTCGTCCTCGCTTCAGATTTCCTATCGCTTTCTCAACTTCATAAAGAGTCGGAGGGCTTATGTCGACTCGCCATTCAGGATGACTGGAGATTGTGGGTAACCGAAGAGTGGCTCGAGGCCAGTTGAACTGATCCCTAAAGTGTTCTGCCCATCCGTCCAGTCTCCTGGATTGAGAATGGATAATAAGACCATCCTTTTCCGACGGTCGGGTACCGCCTATATACATATTCGTTCTACTCGCTTTGATGTTAGCCTCTTAAATAATCCGACGACTCATTCATTTCCCTACATATGTATATATATATATATATATATATATATATATATATATATATATAATTCCTACTCACTACCGCGCTCACTGGCTCGCTCGCTTGCTCTTCGACAGTCGTATATCATTTTGGCTTTGTGTACTAAGTGTAGTGCGATAATAAACATCTTCAATGCTTCGTATTCTTTTCGTAGTTTATACACCCTCGGGCGTTATCTAGTAGCTATTATTAGGACGAACAGTATACGACGTCTAAGCATATATCCAATACCGACGACCCACATAGTTAGTGAGTCCGACCACAAAAAAAATGCAGCGCATAAACGTATTCCATTCTCCTAATGCGACGCCTCCTACGCGCCAAAACACATATGGTATTCTAACGATTGCCCAACAAAATCCCATGTTCACAGTCAGTCGTACGTATGTACATCAGTTCAGGCTGCCATACCACTTGAACACAGAAACGCAAATGTCAAATCAGATCCCATAGTGATAAAGATAGTAGAGGTATTAATGGTAATGAAGATATTATTCAAGAAGTATAATGCAGTGAGATAAGTTTAGAAAGACAAAAGTATATGTGTTGACGAATCCAGAAGATTAGGATATGAGATAGCTCAAAGAATGGAGGCGCTTGCGCCTTTGCAAACGATTTTGAGCCATGTCGTTCAAGGTCTCTAACCATAGATTATTATCATCTCGCGGACCCCAACCAGGTAGCCTACATCTACCAACATGACTCAGTCCAGTTGTCAGTGACTTTATGGATTTCTGCCATGTTTTGGTTTGGCCGACCCTAGCTTTCTTTCAACCTACTCCTACACTACAAAACATAGCTTGTTGTGGCAGTTGGTGGTTAGGCATACGCAGCACATACCCCAACCACCTCAACTGATGAAGTTTCACCACTTCATCTATTGATCTGCCATTCTTACCTAGCACCCGATTCCTAATAACAGCGTTGCTAGCTCGGGTGTCCCAGGATATACGAGTAATGCTTCTAAGACATATATGATCGAAAACTAGTAACCTACGAACATCTACTCTTAACGGCCATGTTTCACAGCCATATAGGAGAACGGAGCGAACTACTGCGCAGTACACCCGTCCTTTGGTTAGCGAACGGATATCACGCCTACGCCATAAGTGACACAGGTTGGCAAAAGCCCATGTTCACAACGGTTTTCTGAGTCTTTTTCTAGAAGAAAAACCAGTACACCTCCCCTTCCCAACTTCATCAACCCCACCGCCGAAGATTGAAATATCACTCACTCTATTGGTCAAATAAAGAAAAGTATTTTGTTGTAAATTGTATACGTCAGTCAGTACACACTGAATTAGAACTGAATAATAAAACATATACACACAAAATAAAAATTAAATGAAGAAAGAAATCCGACACACACAGACACAGACATGCAGAGACACAGACACACACAAAATGAACTAGAATGATTGACTGATTGGATTGGATTGACGGACAACTCGTTCACATTTTATGTGAGTTAGAAAGAGAATAAAGAATGAAATGTCAAAATCATACATACAAATTCATTCATTTTGTGTAATGTGATGTGATGCGATGAAATGTAAACAAGTTTAACAATGAAAGTTATAGGTAGACAAAATGAATTCAGTTGAAACAGACCAAAGACAATGTGACAATGTTCACAGGAATAAGTATAGCAAAAACCAACAGATAAATATATTAACTCATTAACTAACTAACTAATAAACTAATAACTCATGAACTATTTACCTATTTGACAATTGAAACTAATTTTATTGTTGCATTGATTGTATGGAGAAAGTAGTACACACAGCATGCACGCGCGCGCACATAGCGTGCACACACACGTCAAGGGACCATCCAATGATTCTTCTGAAATAAAATGTCAATCAAATGAGAAAGAAATATTACAGAAGAGGAGGAGAAGGAGACACAAACACTCATTCATTCACTCACTCACTCACTGACGCATTCATCACCACGTCCAGTTCACTGCTCACCACTGCTTGTCAATCACAATGCTACACACACAAAGGAAGCAGGATATTGATGCCACACACAAAATAAAAGGAATAATAACAGGATAATTGTTCTCTTTTTTTTAATCATTACAATATATTAAATTAGAAAAAAAGGAATCAGATAATTAAAAAATAAAAAGGGGGGAGAGAAATAAACAACTCAAGAATAATACTACCGAATTGTTTGCTTGCTTGCTAAGACGGATGATGTGTATACAAAAAGCCACAACAACAACAACGTGTAGGTAGGTAGGTACATGTAAAAATCTTTTCTCTCTGTTTCGCAATGTTTTTTCATGAATGTTGTTGCTTTTTCAGTTTATGTCGATGATGTCCACGATGACGATGACGTCGACGTTTCGTTTTATTTTTATGATTTGACAGTGTCGATGTTGTTGTCGTGGTTGACGTTACTGACGACATTGTTTCAGCATTAATGTTATCTTCTATGTTGTTTGTGTTATTATGATCAATATCAACATTGTTGTGATCTTGTCGCATCGATTCCATATTGGACAATGAATTCATCATCCTCATCATCGATGATGATGACGTCACTTTGTTTAAAAAATGTTCATTCATCATATCGGTATTTTCACGATTACTCAACTCTTCATAACATTCCATCATGGATGCTAGTGTTGTTGTTGTTGTTGCTGATGGCAACGATGACGATAAATTGCTACATTGATCATTGAATGCATTGATTGAATTCGGTTGATATTTAAACAAAGTACCACCACCACCACTACTAGTATTGTTGCTACAATCAAATGACCAACAGTCATCGTCATTAGGATGATGATCTTTTTCATTAAATGACATGGAATAATTTTGTTTATAATAATTTTTCCAACAAATTGTTGAATCAATGGTTGTTGTTGTTGTATTCGACATTGAATCATTTATAGCAATAGCAGTACTACTAGTACTACTAGTGTTAGTAGTATTATTAGTAGTATCAGTAGTAGTATTAGTAGTGTCATTCAATGTACAATGATAATATTGTTGTTGTTGTTTTACAGGATCAATCAATTCAATTGCATAACCGATAGCTTTTAAATTTCCATTCCATGTTAATATAAATTGTCGACCGATTTCAACTAATTCTGGATGACGTGTAAAACGTAATAAAATATATGTGGGATTGTTTAAATGAGTCTAGTAAGGAAAGACAAAACAGAAAAATCAATAAACATGTATATATATATATATATATATATACATCAGATATTACAATGAATGAATAACTCTCCCCACCTGGAGGTCTTCTAGAGATAGATGACTGACAAAATTCTAGGTCTGGATAAGCGAGCAAGCGTTGGGCACATAGAGAGGTTGTTTTCCTGGACCTTAAGGCGGCATTCGACTCAGTGGACCGTGGGGTTCTGTGGCAGTGTCTGTCATTGAAAGGTGTACCAAAGAAGTGCATTTACCTTGAACAAGCTCTCTACTCAAACACCACTGGTCGAGTGAGAGCTTATGGCGAACTGTCACCGGAATTCCTCACTTCAAGTGGAGTCCGTCACGGACGTCCACTTTCTCCACTCTTGTTTAATTTTATCATAGATATGCTCCTAGACGTAACATTATCCTCGTCTGAATTTTCTGGAGTAGACCTTTTACCAGGTGGCTCGCTTATCGACTTAGAATATGCCGATGACATTGTCCTACTTGGTTAAGACGCTGACAAAATGCAGAGTCTTCTGACTACCATAAGCAACAATGCAAGCATGTTCAGGATGCGGTTCTCCCCGACCCCCGAAATGCAAAATGTTGCTTCAAGACTAGGTTACATCGGCACTTAAAATAGTGATAGGGAGTGAAGTAGTCGAGCGTGGAGACGGCTTCAGTTATCTGGGGAGTCTCATCAGTGCCGATGGCCTGGAGACTGACGAAATATCAGCGCGGATACAGAAGTCTCGATTGGCTTTTGCCAACCTGCGTCGCTTATGGCATAGGCGGGATATCCGTTTGCTGACTAAAGCACGAGTGTACTGCGCACTGGTTCTCTCCGTCTTACTTTATGGCTAGTGAGAGTAGAAGATATTCGTATGTTACTGATTTTCGATCATAGGTGTCTCCGAAGCATTGCTAGTATATCCTAGGACACCCGAGTGACCAACGCTGTTATTAGGAGATGAGTACTAGGTAAGAATGGCAGATCAGTAGATCGAGTAGTGGAACTTCATCAGTTGAGGTGGTTGGGACATGTGTTACGTATGCCTAACCACCGACTGCCTCGTCGAGTTTTGTTTTGTAGTGTAGGAATAGGTTGGAAGAAGGTTAGTGGTGGCCAAACAAAAACATGGCAGAAATCCATGAAGTCATTGACAAGTGGACTGATTCATGTCGATAGTTGTCGACTACCTGGTTCGGGTCGGTGAGATGATAATAATCGATGGTTAGAGACCTTGAATGACCTGGCTCAAAACAGTTTGCAATGGCGCCAGTGCATTTATTCTTTGTGTTCTCTCAAGTCCTAACCTTCTGGATTCTTCAACCCCACTAGTTTCGTCTTTCGAAACTTATCTTACTGAATCACACTTCTTGAATAATATATTCTAATCCTAACCTCTCCGATTACTTCTAATACCTTTACTACCTCTTCTACTATTGGATTTGAATTGACAATTATATCTGTGTGCTGATAAGGTATGGGAACATGAACTGATGTACTTACGTACGAAGTTCTACTTTGCGACTGATTGACTGACTGACTATAAGTGACGCATGTTAGTCATAGCCAGTCGAGCCTTCTGTATACGTGGTGAGAGAGTGGACAACCTTGACGAATACCTCTTGATGACAGTTTGCCATAAGCTCTCACTCGACCTGTATTGTTCGAGTGGAGAGCTTATATGCATACGGTCAATGTACTTCTTTGGTACATCTTTTAATAAAAGACACTGTCACAGAACCTCGCGGTGGAGAAACACTACTTTTGTGCGGTGTCTTTGTTCTAAAACCTGACGTAGTGTGAAAATGTGGTCAATGCATTCACGTCCAGGTCGAAAACCAGACTGGTTTTTTCTAGTCTGTTCTTAACGAGCTTTCGTTACGCGTCGAAGTATTATCGAGGCCAATATACTATATTAGTTAGAATTATTCCCCTGTGGTTGTCGCAAGAGGACTTTTGTTCTGTTTTGTAAATTGGGACAACCAGCGATTGGGACCAGTTAGATGGGATTACGTCCAGTTCCCAGATTGTACCTAAGATACTCGGTCAATGAAACTGCTACAACTGGGCGACCATCCTCAAAAATCTCAGGGGTAAGCCTATCAGGCCCTGCTGCTCTACCTAGCTTTAGATTTCCTATAGCTTTTTCAACCTCATTAAGAGTTGGACGACATGCATCAATTCGCCATTCAGGTTGACTGGGAATCGTGGGCAACGGAAGTGTTGTAGTGAACGAGAACACAGGTGGGGCAACCGAATTGCATTTAACGAAAATTACAGAGTTACTCAGTAAAATCGGAAAACCATATCGCTAATCGTTAATTTGCAAAATATCAGTTCATCATATCGAACTGGACTGTTCCTGTTGCAAAACATCAATCCATCGTCACTATTCATGTGTTTCATACAAATTCCATTGTGTTCTAACTCTTCCTTTCTTGATCTTCCCCCATCTTCTGCTGTCAGACATTACGTTGACACTCACGTCATATACTACTTATGAGTAGCTCGCACCACAGTATGGCTGAAGGGTAGCTGAACTGCTCTCTAAAGTGTTCTGCCCACTTTCTAACCTACTCTGTCCTAGGCCTTCCATTGTAGTTCTGTCCGATTTTTTATCCATTCTTCTCATATCTGTCCCCAAAACTCAGAGTAATGTGTTATTTGACCTTGAATGCTCCAAATTAGGACCTTTGCTCATGATGCGTTTTGGTTGTTTTCCTCAATATGTGTGTCCGACCCAACCGTAATTTCTTCTACAACCTGTATCTGGTTTGTTCTCTCTCACAACGGATTGTTGCTGATGGTTTCTGGCCTATTTCCCGCCCCTCTATGTCAGTCAGATGCAAAGTAGAACTTCGTACGTAAGTACATCAGTTCATGTTCCCATACCTTATCAGCACACAGATATAATTGTCAATTCAAATCCAATAGTAGAAGAGGTAGTAAAGGTATTAGAAGTAATCGGACGGGTTAGAATTAGAAGATATTATTCAAGAAGTATAATTCAGTGAGAAAAGTTTAGAGAGTCGAAACTAGAGGGGTTGAAGAATCCAGAAGATTTGGATTTGAGAAAACACAAAGAATAAATGCACCGGCGTCATTGCAAACGGTTTTGAGCCATGTCATTCATTCAAGGTCTCTAACCATCGATTATTATCATCTCACCGACCCGAACCAGGTAGTCGACAACTATCGACATGAATCAGTCCACTTGTCAATGACTTCATGGATTTCTGCCATGTTTTTGTTTGGCCGCTCCTAACTTCTCTTGAACTTCTTCTACACTACAAAACAAAACTCGACGAGGCAGTCGGTGGTTAGGCATACGTAACACATGTCCCAACCACCTCAACTGATGAAGTTCCACTACTCGATCTACTGATCTGCCATTCTTACCTAGTACTCATCTCCTAATAACAGCGTTGGTCACTCGGGTGTCACAGGATATACGAGCAATGCAAGATATCCGTTCACCAATCGAAGGACGAGTTAACAGTGCAACAGTTCACTCCAATCCTACCATCCAAGTGTAAATCTGACTGACTGACTGATTAAGGTTGGAGAATGCTGATTGGCAGCCTATGCTCCATTGCGGGGCGGGGGATAACAACAGACGTAGGTAAGCAAATTACTAAGTAACTATGAAAATAATCATTTTCTTGTTCACCAACCTTATTACTAACATCACTGCCGTCATCATGATTAGTAGTATTAGTTGCAGTAGTAGACTTTTGCTCAGATTCACATTGTTGATATTTACTACTACTATGATTCTCGTCATTATCAGTATTACTCTCCAGTATAATACCAGTTTGACATATACAACCAGCATAAATATTAACACGTTGACCAATCAATGGAATCGGTGTTAATATCACTGGTGGATTGCCTAATTTAAATGAAACAATTGGTAAACGACGAGGCATCAACTGTAATTTCACTGTCCATACTACAGTGAATTGAATCGAATCATGATGTTGGTTCCCTGTCAACAACAACGACGACGATTGTTCATGCCATGATGGTGACGGCTGTGGCGATAATGCAGTAGCAGCGGCGGTAGTGTTGTCGATCCTATCGGATGGAGCTGCCGGCGATGATACTGTGTTGTAAGTGGATAATAACATGGGATAAGTGAGTAGAATCATACCACGACGTATTTTAATTGGTGAATAGAATTGATAAATATCAACTGCTGTTGTTGTGTTGGCTGTCGTTGATGATGATGAGGAGGACGATGATGATGATGATGTCACGGATAAACTATTCACATCATGATTATGATCATGTGGAATAATCTCTTCATTCTCATTGGTATGCTCAACATCATTGTCAAACAGTGAAGTCAATGATTTTTTACAATGATTTATTGCACTGTACGATGCTGGTGATGACGTAATCGATGAAGAGATATTATGCAATATCAACTGACGTTGTTTCTCATTCATAGTATTCCATGATTTCGGTAAAAAATACACTTCCATTGATACTGATTGACCAGCATAGACAATTTCGTGCAATTGACGATGATGCATTAAACTAACAATTTGAACTGGATAAAAATCACCAAACTGTTGGAAAAGTGTAAAAGAAGAAATCAGAACAAAAAAAATGTTATGTAAGTGCGCGATGAATTAATAAATCACGAGTATGTGTGCAGTCTACTTAATTTTATATAAGTAGTATATCATACTAACCGACAAGTGGACTGAGTCATGATGGGAGATGTAGGCTACCTACCTGGTTGGGGTCCGTGAGACGATAGTCACCAATGGTTAGAGACCTTGAATGACATAGCTCAAAATCGTTTGCAATGGCGCAGGTGCATTAATTCCTTGTGTTCTCTCAAATCTTAATCTTCTGGATTCTTCAAACACCTCTAGTTTTTTGTCTTTCTAAACTTATCTCATTGAATCATACTTCTTGAATAATATCTTCTAATCCTAATCTCTCCGATTACTTCTAATACCTTAACTACCTCTACTACTATTGGATTTGAATTGACAATTACATCTCTGTTTGTGCTAATTGGTGGTATGGCAACATGAACTGATGTACTTACGTGCGTACGAAGTTCTACGTTGCATCTGATTGACTGCTCCTCTATCGGGAAGGGGGGTAAAACAGACAAAAGTAAGTAAGTATAAAAAAACAATCAGTTTTCAATTTTTCCACAATTCTTACTTGATCTGGTCCAAGCCATAGAATTTGATAATTAAATAATTGACCAAATTGTACACGTCCAACTATGACTGGATTCAATACACCGGGTATTTGTGTAAATACTTGATTTATCCAAACCAGCGTACCATTATACGACTGTTGCTGTTTCATTAAATTTATTCGTTCAATAATTTTACTGAATATACGAGTAGATTGATTGGATTTCTTATTGGAAATATTGTTCCAATCTACAAATTGTTGATATTTCTGATGTTTATCATTTAATGATTCAAATAAATTCGAGGTGGATGACAATGGTGAAGGTGATGGCGTCATCGACGGGTGATTTAAACAACTTAATTGACTTAAAAAATGTATTAAATTATCAATACCTTGACCAGTGACAGATGAAACAGGAAAAAATGGTGGCATAAAATCATCATCCATGTTATCATTTCTGTTAGTAAGTAAAAAACAAAAAGAGAAGATCATATACATAGTCCATAGAAATGATGAATTGATCAATGGTGTCGTCATCGTTATCCTACAGCAGTGTACACATCCACGAGCTTAGCCCCGTAGGAATTGAAAACCAGGAGTTTCGGTTCATAGAATAATTCATTGCAATTATGAATTGATCAGTCAGATGCAACGTACAACTTCCTACGTAAGTACATCAGTTCATGTTGCCATACTACACATTAGCACAGAGAGGTCTAACTGTCAATTCAAATCCAATAGTAGTAGAGGTAGTGAAGGTATTGGAAGTAATCGTAGAGGTTAGGATTAGAAGATATTATTCAAGAAGTATGATTCAGTGAGAAAAGTTTAGAGAGTCAAAACTAGAGGTGTTGAACAATCCAGAAGATTAGGATTTGAGAGAACACAGAGAACAAATGCACCGGCGCCATTGCGAACGATTTTGAGCCATGTCATTCAAGGTCTCTTCTAACCATCGATTATTATCATCTCGCGGACCCCAACCAGGTAGTCGACAATTACCGACATGTCTCAGTCCACTTGTCAATGACCTCATGCATTTCTACCATTTTTTGGTTTGGCCGCTTTTAACTTCTCTTCAACCTATTCCTACACTACAAAACAAAGCTCTTCGAGGCAGTCGGTGGTTGGGCATACGCAGCGCATGTCCCAACCACCTCAACTGATGAAGTTTCATTACTTCATCTATTGATCTGCCATTCTTACCTAGCACCCGATTCCTAATAACAGCGTTGCTCACTCAGGTGTCTCAGGATATACGAGCAATGCTTCGAAGACATCTATCATCGAATACTTTATAACTTACGAATATCCTCTACTCTTACTGGCCATGTTTCACAACCATATAGTAGGACGGAGCGGACTTTGGTTAGCAAACGGATGTCTCGCCTGCACCATCAATGACGCAACTTTGCGAAAGCCAATTGAGCCTTCTGTATCCGTGCTGAGATTTCGTCAGTCACCAGACCATCAGCACTGATGAGACTCCCAAGTCTCTTAGACCACCACTAATCTATCTTCTTTTTCAGGTCCCTCAAGAAACACCCTTCCACGGTGTGGGCAGCCGGAAAGTGACAACCACCGTCATACCCATAACAGCACACGAGACCAAATCAAATCCTTTCTTCCTGACTGACTCTATATATATACCCACGGCAATATATGAGAGCAGTTTGAAGTGGCTGACAGGACTATCCCTACTTTTGGCCGTACCACGCCACGGTATCATATGATTGATTGTAACAAATGACCGTAGAAATAGTGTTGTTGTTTTGTCAAATAAAAATTTTCTACAGTCAGCTGTTTTTTATTTATTTTATTTTTTTAATTGTACATGCAAACTTTAATAATAACAGTTAGTCATGTGTTAGTTATCA